GTTTGGCCACTTGTTTTTGCCTGGCCTGGGACTTGTAAGAGGTGTGCAACACAAAGTTAAGATGAAAACTTCCATCGCGCCAGTCGCACAGAAGCTGAGACCCCTACCATTTTCAGTCCGCCAGCCGGTCATTGACGAGATTGAGAAGCTACTTGCTGCTGATGTCAGTGAGAGAGTCAATGCTTCCGAGTGGGTATCTCCTATTGTAGCAGCCCGCAAAGCAGATGGTAGCATTCGACTGTGTGTCGATCTCCGGGAACCCAACAAAGCTATAGTAGCAGACAACTTCCCTTTGCCTCATATGGAGGAGCTGCTTCATGCCCTCAATGGAGCCCGCTGCTTTTCCAAGGTGGACCTGGCATCAGCCTACTACCAGGTTGTGCTGCACCCAGACAGCAGGGACCTAACTTCATATATAACTCACGATGGCCTCTTTAGATTCAAGAGAGTCTGCTTCGGGTTGGCATCGGCACCAGCTGCGTTTCAGCAGATCATGACGAAAATTCTTGGAGGTTGCAAAGGGGTCTTATGCTACTTAGATGACATAATAATTTTTGGCAAGACGGAGAGCGAACACAGGCAAAACCTGGAGCAAGTGCTGGAACGAATAGCAGAAGCTGGGCTCAAGCTCAACGAAAAATGCGTCTTCATTTCGTCGGAGCTGTCGTTCTTAGGACATCGCGTCAGCGCAGAGGGTATAGCACCGCTCCAGATCAAGATTGATGCAATCATCAATGCTCCTGCGCCTAGAGATGCAGCCACGCTACGCTCCTTTTTGGGGCTAGCTGAATACTATTCCGAATTCGTGCCGCGACTGGCAAAGCAAGTAGAGCCAATGCGTCGTCTACTTCGCAAAGACGTGCACTTCGACTGGGATGACGCTGCGAAAGAGAGCTTCGCGGGAGTAAAAAGACTTCTAGCATCCCACAAGGTCTTCCGAATGTTTGACCCGACGCTACCTGTCATTGTCGCAACAGATGCCTCTGCGTACGGTCTCGGTGCCGTACTGCAGCAAGTGGAGGGGTCCCATGTGCGTACTGTGGCATTTGCATCGCGGACATTAACAGAGACAGAACGAAAATACTCGGCCGGAGAGAGCGAGGTCCTTGCCTGTCTGTGGGCCTGCGAGAAGTGGCACGTTTACCTCTGGGGCAGATCATTTACTCTACTGACGGATCACCAGGCTTTGGTGGCACTGCTCTCATCCCGTAGCACAGGACAGCGGCCACTTCGTATTGCAAGGTGGACCACACGACTGCTGCGCTACGACTTCAAAATACAGTACCGCAGCGGAGCCCACAACCAGGTAGCAGATGCCTTGTCCAGACTGCCCGTGCCAGACACAGAAGGGGGCTTCCATGTTGATGAAGAGGTTGTGTCCTTGGTTACATCGTCTGTACATCGGGAGAATCTTCAGGTTGCTACCGCGGAGGATGACATACTACGGCAGGTAATGCAATTTATCCAGTCATCATGGCCAACAAGGAAAAGATTTGCCGCTGAACTGACTCCGTATTACGAAATACGAGACGAGCTCTCGGTAGTAGATGGGTTGCTTCTGCGCACAGAACGCGTTGTAGTGCCTGCCAAGCTAAGGGATACATTCATCCAGTTAGCTCATGAGTCACACCCGAGAATTGTGAAGACTAAGCAGCGTATCAGGGAGAAGTACTGGTGGCCTTGCCTTGATAAGCATGTGGAGGCCGCCATCCGGAGTTGCAGCGCCTGTCAAGCCTCGGACAAGAGTGTCAAGAACTGGCAAGCCCCACTACAGCCTGTCCCGCTTCCTGACAGGCCTTGGGACAAAATATCAATAGACATCATGGGCCCTTTTGAACGTGCACCGGCCGACTGTCGATTTGTCATCGTGATAGGGGACTACTTCTCCAGATGGCCAGAGATTGCGTTCTGCAGTGACACCACTTCTCGCACGGTGATCAACTTTCTGCTTGCTGTCTTTGCGCGAAAGGGTTACCCGACCGAACTAGTGTCAGATCACGGCCGACAGTTCACGTCGAGTGAATTCGAGTGCTTCCTTGCAGACAGGGGCATCAAGCATTTCTTCTCGGCAGTTTACCACCCTCAAGCCAATGGCTTAGTGGAAAGATTCAACAGGGTCTTGCAATCGTATATACAACTAGCTCTCCTAGAGCAGCGACCAATCAAGACCACAGTTATAGAGTACCTGGGTATTTACCGAGCCACACCCCACAGCGCCACTGGCATCTCTCCGGCAGTGTTGCTTCATGGCCGCCACATGAGGACATCATTAGATGTTGTTGGCCAGCCATCAGCGGATTTCTGCACCCATCCCGCCCGTGAACTGCGTAGACTTCGGCGTCGTGTCTGCGAATACCAACAAAGAAATAAGGCGTATGCAGACAAGCGAAGAGCAGCCCGGGAGCCCAAATTTAAAGTGGGGGCCTACGTGCGGGTGAAACGCCCGGTACCTGGAATAAAAGGCCCCCCTAGTTTTGGGGCTCCACTCAAAATACTGAGGCGGGTAGGACGATGGTCATTCCACTTGGAGGACGGCCGTACCTCGAATGCCTCCCAACTGTCGGCTGTACCCCATGAAGCTGTTCACAAAGAAACGGGGGCAAGACAAGGACCGCTGTGGGCGGACATGGAGACAGACGGGTCGGCAGGAAACGCCACAGCACGAAAACCGTCCTCGAAGGCAAAGAGCCACATGACCCAAAATATCCCAATACAGGAAGCTGTACAGTCTCCGGGGGGGTCAGCACTGCCTCCTCATACGCCAAGCCCACCGCGGCCTCCACCAACGGGGAACACGACCGCAGAACTGGGTGCTGATCGTGCCGACGAACCAGAGGTCGTCCATCAGCTAGAAGAGCAACCGGTGCCCCTCCATCGCTCTACACGGGAGCGAAGACCACCAGAGAGACTCGGGGACTATGTGCAGTGACTTATTTACGGTGGAGACTTACTATAGTTTTCTGTCACGGGTAGTGACTGTTTCTTTTCTATGCACATAATCTGTGTTCTATTATCAAGGGAGGGGGTAGATGTAGTGTTGTGCGTTTACACCAGATGACCTTCTGAGTCATTGGACTCACAATAGATGGTGCCACCTCGCTCGTGTGTATATTGATTAAACTGGGTTATTATCATGGATCGTACAGTGGTGTAGCGTGGTTACTTTCACGTGTCCCCGTGCCGGCTACACGACACTTACAAATACTGCAGGCCCTACTCGGGCCCAAGCAGGAGCGGCAATACCATTAAAAAACAATACAAACAATTATGCTTACAACTATCCACAATTTAAATAATAAACCACAATCAAAAGCAGAAGAAAATGAACAAATAAATATGCTTCGCAATAACATACACACAACATTATAAGTGATAAAACGTGCACGTAAAATAATTCAACGCGTGAGATGAACACTACTCATAAAAAAGTTAACGCGAGAGTCAACTGCCACAAAGCTGTTCAGCATAAACATAACTTTACATATCAAACTAAAGATTGTTTAAAAAGTGAACAAATGATTCAGCAGTATTAGCATTTGCTACTTCTTCGGATAATTTATTCCATTGTGTTATAGCATGTGGAAAAAGTGAATACTGTTGTATATTAGGATTACGAAGCGGCTATCTGACTGTTTTGTTGTGGTTTGTATGACCAGACCGCATGGGGGGCTCAGTTATGCAGTTTTCACGCGGTATTTTGCAGTGACCGTGCTGTAGATAATATAAAAGTTTCAAGCGAGATACAGTTCTGCAATGACCTAGTTTTTTTTTTTTCAATTTGGCACTGTCGCGAAAAACTGACACACTGGAAAAATGCGAGTATGTAGTGTACATAAGCCTCAAGGCCATGTTTTGCGCTCTTTCTAAATTCCTGATCAAGTACTTTTCGTGTGGGCTCCAGATCACATCCGCATATTCTAATTTCGGTCTGACGAGAGCTTTGTGTACAGTTAACTTTACGGTCAACGACGTACGACGTAATTTTCATTCCGAAAATGCAAGTCTTTTTAGCGTGTTGCTGCAAAAGTTTTCTATGTGTGTTTTCCAAGTTAAATTGTTTTTAAGTGTAGAACCTAAATACTTTATTTATTGCTTTTTAATGTAAGCATTATTAATAGTATAGGCAAGTTCTAGGGGTTCTTTTTGTTGCTAATTGTAATACATGCCGTCTTCGAAGCATTAAGCTTCAGTTCTCATGTTTCACCCCTTACGCCAATTGAGTGCAACGTATCATTAAGTTGAACTTGATCGGAATGGCATTTTATTGCATATGCTGATATTACACGTGGCTTTAAGCTGTGAAATTTTGACGAACACTAACGTCTGACCTCAGGGTTGCTTTGAGTGGCTGCTTTGCACTTGTTTACTTCACAACCTCGTCTTGGGACTAAAGTTCGTGGTTACTAAATGGCTTCTTTCCGGCTACTTCTATTATTTAGCATTTAGATACGAAATGTTCCAGTACTAACAAAGCACACTGTCTACAGGGATTTATGTCCCGATTATCTGTGAGGTTACCTCGAAAGCCGTCACAAAAGTTTCAGTTCATAGCACAATCTCGAATATAGACGCAGACGGCCCCTGTGCGTATAATACTGTGTAAAATTGAAATGAAACACTTTCAAGCTAGGACGTTCTGCCTGTGTTCTGTCGAGTACAGTTTGTTGCACTGTTGCCCACGAAGAAACATTTGAAAACCCATGCGTTCTTTTGTTAAGTACGAAAACATTCCAATTTGCCAAAGCTAGAAAAGTGGCCACACACTTCTTTATACGAGATCAAACCCCGCGTTTCGGCGATCTCAAGGGCCACACCTGGGCTGCTTACACTGCCTAACGTTCACTGGCCAACGCTTTGGCTATTTAATATTCCAAACCAGCCGGGTCTCCTAATTTGGGTCGCCAGATAGGCGGGCCGGAAGCGGCCCACCTATGCCACGTGCTGTGCCCGACGCTGCGCCTTCGCGAAGCAGAGAAGCGGCAATTCGTATTCGCCGCGTGGTGCGCCCCTCACTTTATCGTCGTGTGATGGATGGTCTGCGCGTGGATCTCTTGGTGGTGCGCGGGCTTCAGCCGAGCTCCAGCGTTCCACGCCGGACAAGCCGCGTCGCTGACCGGTGCCCATCTTCGCTGTCGTAGTCTGCAAATATAAGTGAGCAAAGAGGCGCTATGAATGGCGTAATCATTTTTGACGCGTCTTGCTTAACGCATAACTCAAGTCACCGTTTCCTACAATCAAAACGAAAGAATAGGACAATCCACGGGTAGCAAATTATTTATAGCACAACGCTTATATAAAGCGTGGGCACATCATAAAACTGTACTAACACTCTTCCACTATTAAATTCGGATGAAAAGCAGCCTAAAACTACTCACTGCATATGACGGGGGGAAAAAGGCTAGAGCAGGTGTTGTTTATAAAGATATTTTTGAACTCGCTAGCAGCAAAGCTTCAACTATAGGTGTAAGCAAACATATCTCTTAACCTAACAATAAACAACGCTCCTATTCAACAAGTTCCTTGTTTTAAATATTTAGGCGTCACTTTTGATGAACATTTAGACTGGCATGAGCAAGTACAGAGTGTGTGCGCAAAGGTAGCCTATGGCTGCTGTTCTCTAATAAAAGCTCGCCAATATTTTCCGCAAGCTATACTTCGCACACTCTACTTTTCATTGTGTCATTGTCACATAGGTTACTGTCTGGAATTGTGGGGTGTGACGTACAACAGTTATCTAAAAACTCTTGAACGACTTCAAAAGCGTACACTGAAAATCATAAGCCAAGGTGAATCAGTAAGTAATATTTTCCAATCACAATGCATTCTCTCGGTTCCGATGTTGCGTGACTACAAAATTGCCGTTTCAGTAAATAACATAATTAATAGAAATTCACCTTTGCCTGCTGATCTTTTTTCAATTCCTAAACGCAATACGCGACATGCTTCGAATGGTAATTTCAATCTGCCCAAATGTTTTAATGTTTACGGAGAAACACTGATACAGTTTAATGGAACAAAATATGGAACACGGTCCCCCTAGAGATTAAAACGGCACGTAATTTCAGCATGGCATGTAAATCACTTTTTCTGTGGAGTCAAGGCATGTAAGCATGTGTGTGTTTGATTCGATTTTCATTGTATTTTTTTAAGTGCCTATGTATAGAAACTAGCTGCAAGCTAATAAGTATGCATATCTGCAGGAAAAAATGTATTACTGCGCTATCTGTATCATATGATTGTTTTTTTGTTTTTTTTTGATGTCGTTACCTCAGAGCTGTCCTGTACACTTTTTTATGTTGCACATTGTATTGGACCGTCCACTAGCCACTTTAGGCTATCGGTCCAAATAATCCCTGTAATTGCATATATCTATTCATGAAAATAAAGTTTCATTGATTGATTGATTGATTGATATCTAAAACAAATCACTAGTCAGTCGTGAGCACATCTTTTTGCCTAATGAGTTTGGCGTTTCTTCATGATAAATGGTCTTTAGTTATTTTATATCAGTACTTTCACCTTAAGAATTGCTGAACAACATATTTCATTTTCTTGTACGATTTCATTGCGGTTGTCTTTTACCGTATGCTCTTATTTCAGCTTTGTAAAGGCGTTGCCTATAAAAATGACATGAAAAACCATCTGAAGCGCCCAACATGTTGATTACTCAGAGGAACGCGGTGTCTGACTTCAGTGTTAATGCTGCAGGGGTGTCGTCAAAAGACCTACACGATGTTAATACATACCTGAAACGTAAGCATACGTGGATGCTATTTAGCTAGAAATTCTACGAAGGATATGTACCTTCTTCGAAAAGCGGACTACCGCCGCGTTTCATGTCAGCCAACAAAGAGAGCTTTCCTTGGGGGCTGCCGTGGCCAATCTCCACAATAGCTCTGTAAAACGAGAGAACACCAGCAGCTATTGTTTTTTTATTTTGCAGCTATTCACATTTAGTGCAGTTCGTTTACATAAAATTAAGAAGAAGGTTCATGAAACTTGAGAATAAAAAGTATCAAGCTTTGTAATATCACCCTTCACTACGCAGTGTTTTAGCGAAACTTATGCTCAGTAAATCAAGTATATGCGGCATCCAACAACCGCTCTTTGAAAGAGCAATGCGTAAGGTAACTCTGGTGCCAGCGTTGAGGACGTTCAGGTGAAGCTACGCAAATGCATGTAATTTGAAAGAATAATTAGAGTTAAGTTGACTAGAAGATGCTAACGAGCGTATACGATTCATTGATTTGCTGACTGTTTGATTGCTCGACATGACATGTTTAAAACGCACACTGTGAAACGACATCTAAGGTGTATAATATTCCGTGGTTAGCACGTTTTACACCTATACTTATACTCGGAATTCTCAACGGCACTACAGTCACCGAAAAATTTTGATCAGCTGTAGAGAGAGCTCAACGCACAACCACAAGGCATCGTCAGGAAAGCTCAGATTGTTGCGACATGAAATCATTTTTATCAATCAGGCAAACATACAAAATGTTTCCATATATTGGTGTAAGTTCGGCAGCTAATACTAATTCGTTCATGTAGGTCTCTCAATACAACAAACTATTTGTCTGCGTAATTCGCTTCGAGAAAAATTAACCATTGGAGAAACAGGTTACGAGTTGAGAATGTTTCAGCAAATTTTCGCGTTATAATATCTGAGTGCGCCGTGATGCAGCTGTTGTACGAAGAACAGACTCGATGACGAATTTGCTTAGCAAAAGCATTTTACTCACTTTTCACGCTCATCAAGACGTGGTTTTGTGTTCGCTGAAAGAAAAGAAAAATAAACGAGCCTTATTCTGGTTGTTCCTGCAATGCGCTATAGTCTATAGTCATTGCACGCCAATATCTTTATCGTGAGCAACAACCATTCCCTCTTTTATGCTAGCATAATATCCCGTTCTATTAAAATGTATCTGGGCACGCAAAAACACCAGAACATGCGGGCGCACATGCTCGTAAATACATGTTCACTCCTGGGGTCGTTGTGTTCATCTATAAGGGTCATTCTACTTGACTTATTTTGCGTTACCGCTGTAGTAGTCACAGACGTAAATACTTTGTGACCACTGATGCAACAAACCTTATAGTGGTGTCTGACAAACATTTTTTTTTTGGCCAACGAAGGTTGTGCTACACTTACAAAGTTATGAATTCTATAATGCCCCTTGAACCTTTGGCATGTTCGATTGCCACTTGTGTTCTTAAGGCACTCATTTCTATTATGATAAAAAAAAACATCAGTTCTAGCTATCACATCTATTTTAAGCAAACCTATACTGAGCTTACCTGATTTTAGGACAATACCAGCCGCCCTTTGTTGCCCTCCCTACAACACTCCGGTGTTAACATAACGATAGGCTTAGTACACTTTTTTCACACATTCGCTTGGTGATTATACATATACGTTCCTGTCAGACTTGTTTTCTAATAATTGACTTTTATTTCTGGTTGTTGTTAGAAGTAAATTGTACCGGAGTGTTGTCGTTTTTTTATTGAGCTTCTCTGCCAATCATTGTAATTTTAACAGCTTGAACACATGAAAGCATAAAGTTAGCAACCGCTTGCATAGAGTTCAACCTGCCCTGCCCTTCAACACTTTTTATAAAAACTTTTCGTGTACAAGTGAATATGCACACATATAAGCGCATGCACGCACATATACAAACGATGGTTGTAACTGCCCTTTTTTCAGGAAGAATTGTTGTCCATGCCACTGTGAGCAATGTTATAGCTATAGTGACTCTTTATTTGAAAGCCGTTTCATCGGTCTATTTTTTTGTGCTTTTTGAACTAATCATTCAGCTGTGATATCTCTAGGTATTTACGACAACATTTATATTTGTTTTTCCTACGTCGTGACAATTATGTGTACACTTTACTACTTCCGTATCAACTAGATTGAACGCCGTCACATAATATACTTGTGGCGGCCTCATGGATGCCTTCTAATGACTTCATTATAGTCACTGTGCTTGGAGACTTCCATGATGAAAGCTCAGACTTTCACGTGCTTCTGATAGTACTCTCATACAATACCATACATCATCTTGGTATTTTATTGAAACAGTGAGCAAGTTTAAGTAGAAAAATTATCAGCTTGCTTATTATTTCCCATGTTCAGAAAAGCCCAAACGGCACAAAAGAAGAATACAGAAAGATGTATTGACACACTACTACGTCTGTTCTGTATCTGTGCTTATTTCAGTGCGCTCGGTTCTTTTTTTGCGTTGTTCTATCCTTGTCTTATCTTTCAAAGTGTGGACAAGCTCGACCAAGCATCCGTTTTAGCTAAATTATTATGCACCGTCAGGGAACGCACGCATTATGTTTAGGTCCCCGAAAGGCTTCAAATTATCGCGATTATGATATTCGTGCGAACTTCCATAAAATGCTACAGCATCGCCATTACGTCTTCAAAACGACCCTACCCCATCTTACTTTTAGAAAAGGAAAGTCGTTCCTTCTATAACAATCACTCGCGAGCACGTAAGGTCCCCGAGAAAATTGTACTCCACAGAACTCTTCCGAGAAGCACGGGACGTTTAAACGTTTCTTATATTCTCTTCGCTAATAGACCTCACATAAGACGGGAAACGATTTCGAAAATGGGTCATACCAGAGTTGCGAGCATCGCTGCTAGAATATTCAATGCAAGAGTCATTAAAACGGTTGTTCCCGGTCTCAAAAAATCAAAACGGGCGCGTTGAGGGAAATCACCGCGACACGCGCGTCAGATGAAAGAGCGTGGCTCATATCGCGAATAAAGAAAAGTGACGCCAGGAAAAGCGACAGAATGCAAGTCCGTATGACGGAACGGGCAGTTATGGGGCGCACACACTTGTAATACGTATGTACCCACTTACACTGAATGCGCTTTCGGATAACAACGATGCTAATAATAACGATGAGTAGAACGATGATGATGACCACGCCACCGGCGATGCCCGCCATGATGATGAGGTTCTCCTCTTTCAGCAGAAGCTGTGCCCAGCCAGCCGGACCTGCGAAAAGGGCACGGTTTATTATTTTTTTTAATGACAGCGGGTCATCACGTCTGCAGCGTCACGTTTCGTCGTTTCGCGGGAGAGGCCTAAGGGTAAATAGGAATCCGCTTGACGACAGCGAGATCCGTCGCTCCCGAAGCGCTCAGCGACTAGGCCTGTTTACTACTGTTAAGCGTAGAGCTGGCAGTATAAGTGCAGTTCACAAACTTTTGTTTGTTGAACACAATTGCTAAACTGACGAGATCTTGTCGGTAAAGTGTTCTTAGTGGGCTCCTAGATAGCGGTATATGAGAACGAGGTGACTTCTGTGTTCATGAATATATTACCTTCTTCAGCTTCATTTTTTTACCTCTTAATATCAATGAACATGTCAGCTACCACGTTATCTGTTCAGTAGACGCTCTTTTTCTCTTAGCTGCCAAAACCTACTGTTCGGCAATAAGAAAAATAGAATAAAAAGTAGGCCTGTGATAAGCCTTTTTTGCTTTTTCATATATTTTTTTATCAATGGCATTTATGATAATATAAAGAATGTATTATTTTTTTAACTGCTTCGCTCTAGAATAATACCGTTAGAGTGTAGTCATTGTACTTAAAAAAGTTTAAATAATAATAGCTTCTAAACTCTCTGCTCTATTCAAATGGAGTTACTCTTACTATTTTGGAAAGTTTCGTCGTATCAGCTGCGTTTTCTACGACAACAACCCCAAATAATGATACACCACATCTGCAAGACTCTTAAAATTCTAATACCGACTGCTGGCTTGGCTTGCTTTGTTAGGTAACGTAATGTTACGTTGATTTTCTACATACGCTGTTAAAAAGACAAAGAAAATCCTTGTGTGGGGTTTAAACCTCAAATTATATACGTACAGCACGTTACCTACCACTTTTATAGACACAATGATAGCATTTTAATTTTTACATCACGCCGCCAACGTACAGCCTTTTAAATAGCAACTACTATGGGGCAGTGAATAACACGGTGCTTTATCGAGAAGTTATTTGACTTTTTTTTTTGTTTAGTACAAAATGGTGTGCTTGGTTCATCTTTCTTAAATGCCACTACCTCTAAAAAAGTATGACCAGCTATGTTTTGGATGAAACACACGTGAACTTTGCTGCCTATACATCACCCAAGGCAAGTTTTTCTTTAAAACATGTTCTATATTACCCCGAGGGCCATTCTACATCGACACCAAAAAGCACTCATAACGTATAATCAAATCGATTTGTTTTCTCCCAGAATTTAAACATTTGTATTTCTTAGCGACCACGGGTAACAGATTATTTGTGAGGTGGTTGATCAAGATGTTTGCATGCATAATATAGCTCGTCACGTGCATTGTTTCCAATGTGACTAATATTCTTTGAAGTGTGACTCCTATGAATATTCAAACAATGTGCTGTTTCAATGTTCTTCAATGTTAGTCTTGGCAATTCGAGATTACAAGTAACGCTTTTTTCTTCTCAGAATATGAAAATGTTGCGTGCCTCTGAACCATATTTGCATTTCTCAGGTGAAACCGCAAGCTAAAAACGAAAAAAAAAGCCTGTCATTGTGAACTCGAGTGCGGAAAACAATAAATTAAAAATTGAATATTCAAACGACCAGAGTAAATTTTAAATTAGCTTTTTTTTTGTCCATACTTGTACTGAATTCGTTTATATCTTTGATTATTGTTTTTTTCCCTTTGTAGCTGAAAGCAAGGTTTTTTAGATGACTTGTACTAGTTTTTTCCGGCGTTAATGTGCAGCATTGCTTTTGACAGACATGAATAATGCGACACATAGGTTGCCTTTCGGAATAACTTAGTACTGTTCACATCCGCTCTTACTGCTTTTGCTGGCTGCAATGATTTCCTGATGAATGTCCGAGGTTAGTTTCGCGACAGTAGCAGCTGCGTTGAATTTAGGGAAAAAATTCGAGGAAGGAGGTAATGGCACGGCGTAATTAATTTTTTAATGTTGTGCACTTATAAACAAGATGATGGATAAAATAAAACATTCACCAAGATGTCTTCCGCGGTTGTGTAGCTATGGATTGATAAGCTCGACCGGTGACTCAATCAATTGGTGCTTTTCCAACTTATATGCTATAGCGTCCACAGTAAAGCAGACGTGAAGAGGTAGTGTACGAAGTTCCAAAGATCACTTTCTTTGGGTAGATAACTGTACGACGAACTTTCGATGACATGCATAAGTTCGTTGTTGGTGTGATCACTTCCTTCGCCACGTCAGTCACTCGCAGTATGAAAAGCTTGCTCTCGGACTCTCGATTGACGTTAGTGAGTCATCTTGACACACCCATCATTAGGCATCCGATATTAAGTTAGTGAACGACACTCTGAGATATAGATGCACCTATTTGGAAGCCTATAAGACGAGTAAAGAGAAGAGATACTAGCCCAGTTTTGACGCCTTAGAACTGAAAATGAGGCATCCTTGTTCAGCACGTAGATATACGACAGACGACAAAAACTGTGAACTTTCAAAACCAATTGCGCAAAATAATTGATTGTGTATATTTTGTAAAATATGTACATTGTCAATGCATTATAGAAATAAGTAAGGATTTTTTTTTTCGGATATATCAATAAGACTCATTTTCGTTCATTTTTCGTGATGCTTTATTCACTGACAGATTTATCTCGCTGCATTTTAAGTCAAGTTTTCGTACTCTCCGAATGCCCAAGAACGCGTCTTCGTTCGCGTATGTACCCTGATCTGCTTCGCGTGCGTATACGTACGTCAATGGACGATTGCTCAGCGACGCAAGCGGTCGCCTCCGTAAGGAAGTGACGCTGGCAGTGAAGCAGCTGCTGCACGTCTCGCTTCTTATCTCACCAGCGCGAACGATTGAGCGTCGGCAGCGTGGAATGAGGAAAGCGCAGGATGGGTACAGGGTGGATTCGTTATCTCGACGAGTACCCAGAAACACCTAATGAAGCGCACGACGCCTTCTTCTCGTTCCTACGAACAAGGCAGGAGGCGGGCGGAGAAGGATTATACGGAGTCGTCGATAAGCGGCCATCCATATTGTCTTGGGCCTCTTTTTCGTCGATTACATTGACTACCGCTAAAGCAACTGCAAACTAAGAGTTCGCCGGACAGCTTAGCCCGACAAGGTGAACGCTCGCACGGTCGTTACACTGCAGCAGTGACCGTTCTTCCATCGTGTACGGTACTCGAGCAGCTATGGACATTGACATCCTCGCTACGTCGTCGTAGGGCAGAACGTTTAGTCTCTTATTTTTCGAAGAAGTCTTCACGGCCTTCCTTAAGGCGCTCTCTTCGATCGCTCGTTAGCATAGTGACCCGTCAATCCTGTGAGCATCTTGGATGATGAAGATAAAAGAGCCTAGCGTCTGACGTTGCTTTCAGTAATGGACGTAATACCCACGGCAGTTGGTACCATGAAAGTTTCTTCTTTTTTGTCGACTAAAAGACCTTTACGCTAAGATACTGCTTATGTAACATACGTTCAAGTGACTAGCAGGACACAATGTGTAACATTCAAACATATTCTTAAGTTTGCAAACTTTCACGTTGTTTTTTTTTGTTTCCGTTTGATATAAAAGCGTAAGTGGACTCTCTCTTGGAAAAGCAGTTCAACGTTAACTTTTTATTTGTTCATATGGCACTTTTGTATACAAGTAGTTCTTAACAACATAACTTTTTTATACATAATGTCAAAAAAGTACGTGAACCTCCAGTATGGCATGCGTTAGACCTGCTTTACAGAACGAGAAATCAGTGTTGTCAATAAAGCTTTCGTCTAGCTTACTTAAATCTAATTTGTTTGATTATTCGGTATAAACAATACAAATGAAACAGTTTTCAGTTAAAACTGGTCTCTTGTTTTACACGCAAACTACTTTTTATACCAGGAAACTGTACAGTAAAGGGGGTAACTTACGTTAGTCTCACTTACATAATATGCAAGAATGCTTCATTGGTAATTATTAAACCTCTTATAAAAGTTCAGGATGCCTCAGTCAGTAAACAAGGGGCAAATAATGCATCGGGTAATACGTAAGAAGCAGATGGCAAAAAAAAATAATGAATACAGCTCCGCCGCAAGGTCAAATCAATAAATAGAAAAAAGCAACAAATCAAAATGTTATACAAAGTAAGGCTAGCAGCTAACTCTCTTGAATGCAGTTTCGCGTAACTCTACAAAACGTTGGTTAAAGTGAACGCTGCCGCTCCAAGCCGCGCGGAGGTTTTCACAGTTTGATGTCTCATCACCATGTAAGTGATGATAGTCCACCACGTACTTACATGAACCATCTAGTGGTGTGTATTAGGATAGTTTTCTTTCTATCAAAATTACCACTTGCTGCTCATGCGCCACAGCCTTCCTCCCCCCCTTCAGCGGCACCCTTCACGCTCAGACGGGACGTATCATGTTTGCATGTCGAGCCATCAACGGTAGGCTTTGCACGCAAGGCAACGTTATCGCACGTGCCCTTCATGCGAGGGTGACGGCCACTATATTAAATATCTGCTTAAGCCGCACTCTTTCTTACAACTCACACGCCTTTACTAGTGCATAAAACATATCAAGCACGAAGTGGGGTCCCCAATTCGGACATTGTGTGAAGAAGGCTAGAGCTGGCGATGGCGAAAACCCGCTGAGAGTGTCCGTGCAATTAGTAACACATGAACCACTTTTCTTCCATACTCAAGCCCACTCATTCGCATCAGCATTATTTTTGTGATAACGGTACTATAATGTAGATTCGGCCAAAGAGGGACATAATTTTAAGAGCACTTGTGTTTTCAATGCATACAACATACAAGACATCCATATTTAATAGTTCCTTTGTGAATTTCTTTTGTCTTTTCTCTAACGCTGGCCCTGTGCAATCTTTATTTTTCCTTCTGCAGTTTTGCATGTTTCTAGATACTTCGAAAGTTACGCGAATAAATTGAGGTATGCTATTACGCAAGATTTGACACTCACTGGGGAGCTTAGTGAGTTTCAGCTGGCAGGGCCCGGAGTGTCCGACAGCGTTGCTGGCTACGCAGGAGTAGGCGCCGAATGAGGTTCGGTCGGGCACCACTAAGGTACTGCGTGGTCCCCGGTCTTCCTGCACGGTGCGATTGTTCCGCAGCCAGATAAACGCGACAACGGGAGGCACCGCTTGGGCATCGCAGCGAAGCACCACGTTGCCTGATGAGTCGTGTTCCTTCACCACGGCACAATTCGGGCGGTCTGCATTGGTTAAGGAGCGTAGAACACTGACTGAAGAGTGCGCAACCATCGATTCATGGCGTTAGGTGTAAGTGTGTGTTTGAATAAACTTTAGATGCTGGTGAGTTCAGAAGGAAAAATAGATATGATCAATGGTGAAGGAAAACAAAGAGAAGCTAACAAGAAGGAAAACCTGCTATGCCACCGATACCCAAAGGAACGCCTCTTCTATGTGCCAGGAACGCCACTTTTTCCCATAAAAAGCACCCGCCGAAGACGATCGCAGAGGCCACGCCTCTTGGCGCGTGTTCCGATCAGGCGCCGTGAAAGCGCTCGCCACCGTACGACTTATTTCTATGGCATAAAGCTAACAGCTTGTCGGAAACAGTTATGATAGTGGTTTGTTTTTACAAGGAAACGCTGTTAGAGGCACTAGTCACTGTATCAAAAGGGGAGGGAGCAGAGACAGGAAGGGCAGTGCATTCGCTGCTCGCGTTGCAGGCCTTGTGTTATAGGAGGCGCTGTTCTAGGAAATAGGGTAAAGAAGGGAGAGAAAGGGAGTGCCGACACAGCACTAGTAAGTCCCTCCTGCGCTGATTGTCTACGCAATATTATTTTCCAGCGCAAAATGTACCAGGCCATGCTACAGCTTGTTCTGCAGTGTAGGTATTCTGTTAGCCCCACAAAAAGGACAGTCTATTTCTACATGTGCTGAGTAAGATCTCCGGAACTCGAGAGCTGGCGCACTGACGTCAACATTCGAAGTAACCATCCAAGTGTATTCAGAATATTCAGCAAGTACTGAAACAGTCTTTCCTAGATGGGTGCTGACTTGCGTCACACTGTCACGAGCCTGCGGGCGCTTATTACCAAAGGCGCCTTTTATTAAACACGTGGTTACCAGCCGGAAGGAAAGAGCTGCTGGTGGTGATGCTACTACAGGTGGTTCGTGTCACTGTTTAACTTAACAGTTGCGAATCTCGCTTCAAAACTTTCTAGCCTAGAGTAGCGTCATTGCCTGTGGCCTAGTGGTACAAATAATGTAGTGAAGCCATACCAATCCACGTCATGATTGGTGGCGCTATGGACACTTTGGCAAATTATACACGTAAAAAAAGACACATGGTCTTCTTTGTTTCTCTATCTCAAACTACTATATATTTAGCAGAAAGAAGCACTATTTTCTTTCAGTACTGTTACAGAAACGGTGGCAAAAGCTATATTCACCAAGACTGGACACATGCTCTTCTTCCGTTCACATATTTTGCTGTAGTGAACAGGTTATGCACGTGATGAAAGGATGTGGAACCTTATCAACTTCGAAGATGCTAAAACACAATAACACTAATATCAAATGCTATGCAGCGAGAACATATAGGTGAAAAAGTTAAACGCAATGTGGTACTCAAGTTACAAGCGCACATACACTAAATGTAATCACATCAATTCCCTGTTAAATTTTTAACTGTATTGAATCATCGGAAGATAAGGTTTTGTTGTTACAGCTACTGTTTTTCTAAGGCTTCATACCCTAGCGGTCCTTAAGAGCATATCGTATGCAAAACAAGGCGTAGACGCATCAGCATCTGCTTTTAATGAGAAAGGGTAGAATTATTTTTTAATCGAAATATGTTTTTACTTGTCTGAAATAATAGAGCATTCTGTATCAAAAAGCAGTGTACCCCACACATTTCTGCCTTTTTGATTGACTAAAAAGAACCAAGCTTTCGAGACGAACTGACGAGCAGCCAACACCCCCCCCCCCTCCTTTTTTTTTAACCGTGCCAATCTGAGCTTTCTGCCTTGAATAAACTTTTGAAAAATTTATACTGGTAGTTTCTGTGAGCATTGACTATTTGAAAAAAAAAAAAGGTACTTGTGCTAGTGAAAGGCACATAGTGCATTTTTTTTTTAACCCGCGTGGCACTTCCAGGGGCCACTTTCCTTCTACGTGCTAGACACGCATGGGGATTGGGTTCTGTGCATTCATTTTGGGTTTAGTTGCTGGCTTTTTTGCGGGAGCAAAAAAATATTCTCGTGTTGACAAACCAGCGACCCTGTTTAGGAAGCGTGGTATGATGAGAAATAGACACGCTTCAGCTATAACAGAAACGAGACAGGGAACGCTTGTGCGATCGCTTCAGCGAGTGAGTTTCGTCATTCCATGTCGCCGCAAACACAAACTGTTGTCTGTAATAACTATGGATACGCTTTCAATTATATGTATCGACTACAAACCGTGATTACGCGTAGCTGTCTTCGCACAGAATGTGGAGGAACCAGGACACTCGTAGGGAACACAATGAATCATGTTCCTTAGAAAGGAAACCCTCAGAACTGCCACTTTGGAAACTGTTCCACCTTTCGAAAAGGCATGCATGGACAGAGCAAACTTTCTGAACATCGTTTGGAATTTATTCAAGGCAAAATACTGCAATGTTTTTGGATAAAATCAATTCAAATTTACAGTATTTGGCTAGTACAGACAAACAAGATATAATCGAACAAGCCAGGAAAGCAAGAAACAAAGCGAAAAGCTGACTGGTGCGATAATTATATGGCATGTTGCTAATATATAAATTGTTCAGCACATCTTTATCCTGAATAAAACATGAAATAAAGTCCATTTTTTCTCTTGGACTTAGAATATCTCGAAATCACCATGTTTGGTACAGTTGCCCGGTTATCATGTAAAAGCAAAAGGTTGACTTTTAACTGCAAAGGACCAAACATGAATCTAACGCTACTGAACTATGAAATAGTCTACTTATACGGAACATTTTCTTTTGCATTTTTATTTCAAAACAGTGGATAAATCTTTCTGTTTTGCTAAAAAATACGAAGGTGCCATGATTGAAAATACATTTGTAGTTATTGTCCATTTGCAAGAAAAGACGCCGAGGAATAAAACGAAGCAAACCTGAACCCTTTGCATAGTGTAGTTCTTAAGAAAATAGGTCCTAAAGAAGCCTTAAAATACACGAAAGGTATTTGACCTACCTTGTGCACTTAACATGGCATAAATATTGTCATTACTATGGAAGTAGTTACCTCTTTTCGCACCTCACACTACCAAAGATATAGAACATAAAATTTCAGAATCTTCGTGTTACTCTTTTGTAGCAAACCCGCTCAAATTAAATTCTGCGCTTTTTGTAATATGCATCTCGTCATTCTCAACAAGATTAGGGTGCTTAAAACGCTAGAAAAATAAAAAAAGACAGTGCAGAGACTCGTTGGGCACCCTAGCTGTGAACTGACGCGCTTGAAAACTTTCGATACACGGTAAAAACAAAGCACCGCATCAAGTGGGGGATTTAACCGCGTGGCTGCAGCGATGCACCTGTAACGAGGGCCGACGTTGGGGCTCATTACCGAACCATTAGCGAAGCGAAGCAGGACCAAGGCTGAGCTTCCACCCGCAGTGATAAGCTGCCGTGGAAAGGAGGGCGATGCTAAGGGGAAGGTGCTGAGAAGAAATCGATGAACATGACATGCCCGCCGCTTTGCCCCTAGAACTGCTTGGATCTTTCTTACCACAGTGCTTTAATCATTGTCAGCAGGAATAACAACTTCTTGTTCCGGATTCATTTAGTTATCGTAAATTTATATATTGCCACGAGGAATTGCTAAGGCGCAGTACAACGCAGACGTTGTTAAAAGAGGAACGCTGACGGCATCGCTACGACTCATGAAGCCCGCCGGAAGGCACGAGCCGGCCCAGCCTGTGCACGAGCTGCTACCGAGCAGCGGAAAAGAAAAGAGGAGAAGAAGAGGACGACGAGCGTTCGCTGCTTTCTCCCAGCTACTGTGTAGTTCTTTTGGCTTTGGGCACAAGTTCGCCCTTATTAAACCTTGTAAATAGGACGTCCCGGTTGTGAGGTTGTTATATCCGTTACATTTTCTGGTGGAGGAGCCTGGGTACATGATTCCGAGCCCCACGCAAGAGCGAAGTCCAAGCACTGACCAGCCGCAACCAGTGGAGCTTACACCGGTGCACCAACGAGTCAGCCGCCGTATCCGAGGAGAGTTGCCAGAATTTGGGCCACTCCCTTCTGTATCAAGGGCATCGGTGACGGAGACAAGCGCCGCCACCACCATGACGAGCCAAGTTACGCCGGCACAACTCATCGTAAGCCAACCGGTCATTCCAAAGGTGTTTCATGGTGACCCATACGAGGACGCCGAAGACTGGTTAGAGCATTTCGAGAGAGTGGGAAATCTAAATCAGTGGAACGAGGAAGGCAAGCTGCGTAACGTCTACATTGCGTTGGAAGACTCTGCACGAGTGTGGTACGAAAACCACGAGGCATCTCTGACGTCGTGGCAAGAGTTTCGGCGGCAGCTACTGAGTACGTTCGCCAACAGTGATCGCCGGGAAAGGGCGGAAGCAGCTCTCCGCACACGGATTCAACGAACGAACGAAACTGTCGCGATGTACATCGAAGACATGTCCCGCCTTTTCAAGCGAGCTGATCCTGGCATGACGGAAGACAAGAAGGTGCGCCACCTCATGCACGGGGTAAAGCAAGAATTGTTCGCGGGACTCATCCGCAATCCGCCCCGTACTGTTGCTGAGTTTCGGTCGGAAGCAACAACCATCGAAACGACGCTTCAGCAGAGAGCCCGACAGTACAACCGCGACGTAGCCGGTGCATCCGCAGGAGTCTACTCAGCAGGCGTCGTGGATAATCTTGACACATTGCGCGAGCTCGTCCGGTCTGTTGTCAGGGAAGAATTAAGGAAACTGCAGTCACCTGATGTCACCCCCGAGCTGTCTCTTGCTGAAGTTGTCCGAGATGAAATTCGACAGGCCATGCGGGAGCCGCGGAGTGATGTGCCAGCGACACGACGGGCGGTAACGTACTCCGAGGTGCTCAGGCGACCTACTCCGCACTGTTCGCCGATCGAGACACCAAGTACTTATGTGCAGACAATGCGCAGCCCGCCTGAAATCGTAGAGGCAACACGCACTCCACCTCGTGCGAGAGAGATGATGCCACGGAAGAGCGATGTGTGGC